TAGTCCTAAAATGAGTACCCTTAGGAAAGGTGTCCACCTATTTCAATTAAGTGTTTATCTTTGAAGTTTCCCATCATGAGATAAATTATGACAGTTTCATCAGCAAGGGCAAAAGAGAAAAATTGCACCAGTCCAAATTAAATCACACTTTATTTTCTTTCTTTCTAATTCCTCTAATCTTCAACTGACTTCAAATAGCATCACTATGATGTATCTGGCTTTGTGTAAGGCAAGGAGCTTTTACAAACATAATTATTTCCTTTTCTTCCATCCTTCCTTTATTGTTTCCTATTTCTTTCCTGGAATTTATTCCCCCTCTTTTTCTCCACTGAACACACTATTACATTCTCCCTGAGTGCTCTTGATTCTGTTCCTCAGCTTCTTACTGGTGAACAGGGATTACATCCCCTGACTTCTCCTTCCTGAAACCTTGCCTAACCCATGAGATTGTTTCAACAAAAGGCCGGCGATTACATTGTCTAATCCTTGGTCCTGTGTCTAGGTGACCGGACTCAATGTCTTGAAATTCACATAGACCACTCACCCACCAATAGTTATCCTTAAGAATCTGTAGGGTGTCTTTCGTTTGGCTGTCTGCTCCAGTATAGAGTATACCTGCATCACAATCTCCTTGCACGAATTTCGTAGGTTTGGCTCATATTCCTCATGATATGAGAAAGCATTATGACTTTCTGAGCTCTTACCTTTATTGCTACATAGGGTCTAGATTCTGAGGTACATTCTACAAATCCATTGGTCTCCCCCCTCTTAGAGCTACTCTGGGTAACTACCAGATATACAATCAATACCCGAAGAATCTTTCACTCTTTCCACAGTACTGTCTTGCTTGCTTACTATAAGGACTGCCACAGTCCCCAGATTTGTAGGGGGGGAAGATGGGGAGTGGGTACTGTGTCAAACATTTTGGGCTTCATTTTGAATGCCCCGTTTTCACCATGGTGAGCTGGGCCGCATCTATACATCCTAAAGTATATCATCTCTTTATTTTTCTGATGAGTGCTAAGTATTTTCATATTTATTACATTTTTATCCTATATATACATAAAAATTTCTGTGTCCAGAATCCATAGCCATATACCTGAAAGTGATAGAAGTATTCCCTTTTTGGGGGGTGAGGGAAACTAAGATAGTATGATGAGCTACACACTCCTAGATCTCTCATCATTGTCACCATCCTTCTGCCAGTGTTTAGGGGACTAGAAACTGCCAAGAAGTTTTATTCATACTAGAAAAGTAGCTCTCCGACAATGCGTAGAGATACAAAAGTTTACAAAGGCATATCAGAGGCAATAGAACACCTTACTCCTTTGTTAGCTAATAAAAAGCAATTTAGCAAATAGGAATAAACCAAGAACTACTAACTCTGAGGGCTTCCATGAGTCAGATCATGCCCCTGGTAGTATGTGGAATGCTCACCACCATTTCTACTCACAAAAGGCACCTTCTGCACACACAAGACACCCTACTAGGGATGTACAGTGCATTATAAATGACAATTCTTCCTTTTCGGGGTGTGAGGATAAGTCTAAAGAGACCCCTATAGATTTACAGGATATAAAATATCAGGTAACACTTGTATAGACAATGAGCACCAAAGAGAGTACAGTATTGAGACAGTCAAAGTACAATGTGCCCTGAGACACAGCTGGCTTTGGGGATGGGAGACCTGCATAGTCTCACAGTACCTCACACTACATTAAATTTTCAACTGTTGCCATATTGAAATTCTTAATAACTTAATCTTTGAATTTGTGTTTTGTAAGTGAAGTCCAAGAGGACAATGGAGATTGCACATGAGCAAAAGAGAGATGTGCAGTATGCCAAATGCACCCCTCTTCCTTGCTTCCCTATCACACACCAGATTCGTTTTATCCAATGACCATGATGTTTTGGTCAACATACAAGCATGAGCACTCAAGAAAGATTGAAGGGAAGTACAAGATAAGTGTGTTGCATTTAGGATTGAGTTATTTGGAGAAGACATATGGTTGGGGAGCATCAGCAGCCTCAAAAAGCCATAATTTTCATTCCAGCAGAATTTGCTTCCCATACAGACCACAGAAAGAAGACATGGAGTTCTAGGACATGAAAACTATGGAGGAACTCCTTCACTTCCTTTCTTATTCATGTTACTTTCATGTATTAAACAACCACTAGTGTTGGAAATGATGACCAGGAAAGAAAGGAAATAATAAGGCTATCCACAGTTGCTTTTCCTTTGAGTCTGTCCTTATTTATTGGAAATCTGAGAATAGAGTGTTAATAGAATGTGTGTGTTAAATAATGATTGTTGAGTTCATCTCCTGCAGCATTTCCAATGTTTTGGAAATGAAATACCCATGCATGTACAAGAGGCACAACACAGTTGTATAATTTCAGTGATTTCATTTATGAGTTAAAGGCTCTTATATTACTTTTTAAACTAGCATCATAGAATACAAAGATAAATGATAAAGTACTTGGTAATAATACCACATTTTAATTTTTCTTTTAAAATAAACACCAGAACAAGAGATTACAAAATAAAGGAAAAAGCTTTATTATTTATTACATCTAATGGCACTTGCTTCCTACTTTCTAAATTTCAGTTTTACTCTGGGCCTTATAGATTATATAGCACCGGTTCAGATGTCTCGATGGTACACGAAACCTAGAGAAGCAAAGTACCTCTATGGAAAATGATATCTTTACGACCTTAAATGGATTTCCTTGACTTGGCCCATGGGTATTGTCATGATTGGGGTCAAAATTATACCCCCAAAAGCTCATTATTTTGAAAGCTTGATAGTTAATTGACTTTTCAGAAGCAGGTGAGCAAAGGTTCTAACTTCATCCAAGATCAATCCACTGCTAGCATTTTTGGGAGGTGATAGAAGCAGGAAGTGGGGCCTAGCTGAAGAAAGTGAATCACAGAGGGGCAGGACCGTGGAGATTATCTCTGCTTCTCTCCCCTTCGGCTACAGCTTGTTGTCGTTGTCTCTTCTCCCTAGCTGTCCTGAGGTTAGCAGCTTTTCTCATCCACGACTTTCGTTATAATGTTTCTGCCTTGCCACGGGCCTAGAAGTGGTGGAACCATTGGCTAAAAATCTCTGAAACTGAGCCAAAATAAGTCTTTCCTCTTTTAAATTTTTTTTTTCAGGTATTTGGTCACAGTGATGAAAAGTTGACACAGGGATCGGAATGAAAATGTGATTACTCAAAAATATTTAATCAATACTATCACGTATGAATTTTCTTTTACCAATTCTAAGTATAGAAAGTTAAACCTTCTCCAAATGTTTGTTAAATGCTCAATTTTCTTTCTTCTGGTTATTCTATGCTCTTTAATTTACTATGTATTTTGCCCTTAAATCCTCACCTGTAAGTATTTTGAGGTAAAGTATAGGAGCAGGAAATTTTTTTCTCAAAGTGCTAAATCTTTAAGACTTTAGGTGTCTGTTGAGTCACATGACAACTCCTAATCTTATTTGTGAGCTCCCTGTACACTTTTCTTTTGATTTCTATCCATGCCAGTATTCTCATTGTTCCTTCTGGGTATTGCCTCACCTCTGCCTGTGCCCTCTGTTCCCAGGACAGCAATCACTCTAAGATCTCCTTTACAGAACTTGCCTCTTCCACCTCCTCATCACATCTACTGCCCTTTCCACCTGAAGTAACCATGTAATTCCCCTACGGAGCTTTCTTTGTCTCGTTCTACCTCGCCATGATGACAGACATACTGAAAAGATGTGCACATACGATGTAACTATTACATAGCACACACATCTAGAGCATAAAATGTTTATGTCATTTTAATTACATGGATGATAGTTAATACTTGCTTAGGATTTAGTCTATGCCAGCCACTGTCTAAACTTCATTTACAGTCTCACAACAATTTATCGAGGAACTTGACTAGTATTTCCCATTTACAGATGAGAAAACTGAGGCACAGAGAGAGTAACTTGTCAAATAGCTAATAAGGGGTGGAGGTGGAATTCCAACCCAGCAATTATTTTATCTTTTCTAGAAGAGATAGCTGAAAGTCTCCTTATCTCATGCTTTAATATGTGGTAAAACTGACAATTAACTTGCATTTACAGAAGCTCTACTTCTGTATGTCCAAAAGAAAGGGAGGAGCAGAACCTAATCATCTTCATATTAGGAATTGTTGCCTATCAGAAAAATCCACCCAGTTTCTGTCTCTATGTTTGATGTTTGTTTGTTCGTTTGTTTTTAATTTTGGAAGACAGACTTTTCTGGAAAGTCCCATGTTACTTTGATTTTTCACCAGAGACGAGACGGAAGCATGAAGAGCCTTACATGCCTTTGCTCTCTCCCCCAGATGCTTATTCTAGCTGTGTGACCACCAGCCCACATGACTGCACTGCAATCCACTTGGAACTTCCTACCAGGACCACCCAGAAGCTACAGCTGGTGCAGTGTGGTGGCTGCCTGTTTACATGAGAATATGAGCCTAGGGAGTGGACAGTACCTGCTTCTGCTGTCAGCCAAAGCCTGATCCCCTGGAAAGACCAGTGTGTAATCTAGAAATATTCCTAGGTTTTAGGCCCTAGCTATTTGCCAGACATGGAGGTATTTCCTTCCCGAACTGGGACAGAGGAAAGCTTCTCCCAGGGTGCTGCTGGCTGCCCTTTGTCCAGCAGAGCCAGCTGTAATTCTGGAAACGGGGGTCGGACAGACTCCAAATGTTCTGATCCTCAGATAGAACACATTGAAAGAGCCATTTTCTCATACAAAGACTTTCCGTTGAATCATATCCTACCCACTATCTCTGGCTTCTCAGGGAGGAACAACGCTGAACTTGTAGTCAAAAAATGTGTCCTTAAAACCCTTGCCCGTATCTTTTGTGAACAGCCAAGTTCATGCCTGGCCACCACCCCAAGAGGGCATTTGGCAATCCTTCCAAGCTGAAAGCTTTTCTTGCCGGATGAATAACAGCATCTGGAAAAGCTGACTTGGGGATGAGGACACCACGGAAGCAGGGAGAGCTGTACAGAGCTGCTAGTAATGCCGTTATCACGTACTTAGGGAAAAGATTTTTTTTTTTTTTGCTAAATAGATTATCTTACCTCTATGTTTTCATAAACCAAATCCTTTTCTACAATGTTGTTTCTGAACTCTTTAGAGAAATCAGTGTAGAGTGTCTGTAGCAGAACATTTTGTGAAACAATGAGAATAATCACTCCTCAGGACATCTGCTTCCCGGTAAGTTCAGATGTTCAAAGATCGAGTTGCCTTAAATTGAGTGGGACCCGTACTAACAGCTCTGTCTCTTCCTCTTTGTCCTTTTAACTAGGCCACCCCACACCCTCTGGTGCATACTGCACAGCACCTGGAGAGAGCAGGGAGAAGTCAAGGCCGGAGAGAAATGTCACCAGTCGAAGGGGCTTTTCCTCCCTTGTTAGGCAAAGAGCACAGAATCTTTGGAGATGGAGCCTTGAAAAGAACAGCAGAGTAAAATATGTTGAACTGGTACCATGTGCAAGATATTTAATTCCACAACAACGAAGCCAGAGAAGAAGGGAGTGAGAGAAAACTAAATGAATAGCCACTCTCTACAGAGCACAGGATTGCCATATTTAGCAAATAATAATGTAGACTCTCTAGTTAAATGTGAATGTCAGCTAAACAGAAGCTATCTGTTAATATAACGTGTCCCATACAATATCTGAGACATACTAAAAAACTGTGCATCTGAAATTCTCATTTAACTGATTGTCCTGTTTTTTTACCTGGTAACTTCATTTATAATAATTCTAAGAAGTAAAAATATTCCCATTTTATAGCCAACGAAACCAGAGACATTTAGAAACTTGCCCTTCTGTCAGAATTGAGATAAAAATCTGATTCCCTCTGATTGTAAATCTTATTCATCAGCAGCTGTACAATACCATTCCTCCATCCTGATAGTTAGTTTTTTATTTGGTTAAATAAGCTGCCTCAAGAGAAGAGAGTTAATTTCAATTTTAAATACTAAATGTGCATTAATAATCTAAAGCCCTGTATTAGGACTAGAGAGAGGAAAGAATACATTGCCAAGTAGTTTAAGAACTAAGGCCTGTTACAACAAAAAGTATATTGTAGTAGAGAAGATGGGGGTGGAGAGGGAGAGAGAGAGCAACTCCAAATGTCAGTAGCTGGCCTCAAGTTTTGGAATAACAACATAGTGTTAAGAGTTGCTTCTGCAGAGAAAGGGCAATTGGTGGCTAAACTCAGTTTCTCCAAGGAAACAGGTTCTTCTGGGTAGGCCAGCAGCGATCTTTCTATGGTGTCCCCAGTACCTTCAGCCCATGGTTGTAGGGCATGCAAATACTTTCAGGATCCCACAGTGCTTTTTCTGTCATGTGGCTGAACTCGCCATTGTCTTGCTGACAGTGTCCAGTGGGTGAATGTCTCTTCCCTCCCTCTGCTCTCCATGGCTTCCCCCTCCAGTAAAGAAGATTATCAGGAGGGATTTCACTTACAGCAGAATCTAAGGTAGCAGGCATTAGAAGCCACAATTAGAATAACCATAAAGTAATATTTACGTGCATTCTTTCTGTCAATCACTGTGTCAGGTGCTTTGCAAATATGGTTCCTAAACATCACAAGCGAACAACAAGGTAGGAATTACGACCTCTGCCTTACAGATGAAGCACTGACACTCAAAGACCATTAAGAGTTATGCTGAATGTCAGACAGCTAACAGGAAGGCTCATTTAATCTGAAATCCCATTCTTTTATAGCACCCAGTTCCCTCCTTAAAACAAAGGAAATCAGAGCCCTTCTTCCCTCCCTGCAGGGCAGGAAGAGAACTTCACCTCTAAACAGCAAGCAGAAAGAGAGGATGTTTAGGACCTTAGTGAAAAAAAGCAGGCTGAATCCAATACCATCCTCTCTTATCTCTTAATTGAAGACAGCAGTACACAGGCCCGCTTTCATAGCTAACATCAAAACTAGAAATCGACACAGTGCAAATGTATATCTAATAGTATAGCTTGCAGTGTGATTCCTTTTCCTGTATTATCCTTAAAAAAATAGAAAAGATTTGGAAAGAGCAGCTTAGAAACAGACATACTTACACAGAAAGCTTATATTTTCATAGTAAAGGGCTTTTTTAAGTTGAAGTTCTGTTTTTGATAAGAAAAAGCTTTTAAGAATGCCTTTATATACCATTGTATATTTATATTTACAGTCAATTCTTTCCTTCATTTGCTTCTTGTGGGCAACAATGCTAAGTTTCCCTGCATATCTACTAACAGTTAACATTTTGCTTCTGAAAATTATCCCTTAAAATTTTATCAATTTTGTATTTTGGTGAGACAGTATGAGGAAATGCCACAGTGAAATTAGATTTTGTCTTTTACATCAGGCGCCCAGTCAGCAATCCAATCCCATGTATTTCTACTGAGACATTAGAGTTTGATATAATTTTGGGCAGAAAACATTTTAAAAATGAAACAATTGAATTTTCTAGATGGTCTTGGGGACCACTTAGCTTAAGAGAATACACTTCCAAATCAAAAGCCTTTCAATCATTTTAAATATTATTTGGATGATATTTGCTCCGTGTGTAGTAGCAGTTTGAATTTGTATTGAATGTTTGACCGGCTCGTGCACACATAGATGATGTATGAAATTATTATTTCGTATTTTTCTAGTGTTTGCATTGCAAGTGACATCTGGCTGACAGGAACTTGGAGAAATGGGATACGAAGTGAATGCTGCAGTTACCACAAGCATCATATTTATCAGAAGGTTTAAGGTTGGTCTGTCTTTGTTTAACATGAACAGTGACTGGCAGCCCCACGTTTCGATGTTGCGCACATTTTCTGAGTTGTTTACCAAAAACAGTAGTCAAAGAATAAACACTAATAGTATTATTTGTGCTGCGCATGAAACAAAATATTATACATCCTAATTTTAAGAAAACACACTTAAATTAGATTTCACAGCATTTCCATACATTTTGCTTGCATTCAGAAAATTTATAGGTTTCATGTTAGAAAACCACACATTTTGAGCACTATTCATCATTACTCAGAAAAGGCAATGTGGGAGGAAAAACAGCTCACTATATTTTACATTTTATTTTGTATTTCTTAAATGTGCAAGACTGAACTAAGACATGTGAAAACATGTACTACAATGTTTGCAAGCTCGGACTCTGTAGCAGTACACACTTATATGCAGTCTCTTGTGTTCTCCCTTTTCTTGGGGGTCATGTGCAAATTCTTAATTCTGTCATGAGAAATATCATTCATTTAACAAAGATTTACGAGTCTATTAGTGATTGAGGACCAGTCATCTGCCAGAATATCCAGAGGTATCAGGCAATCCCTGTTCTTAGTAAACTGATAGTCAGATACCAGAAGTCAATAAGAAGTAACTAAGAACAGCACAGGGTTACAGGTACTATGATAACAGAATACAGTCATTGATAAAATGTGAGCAAACTGGTGACAGTGAAATGTGCTATGTACCTGTACTGGTCCCCTACAGCAAATGTAATCACTATGTGCTACAAACATGAACTGATAAAAGTAGACAAAAACATGGTACAGTGGTCCATCTGCTACTGACAGGGAAATCAAGAAGGCAGCATGGAGACAATTACGAAATTCTTTCAGTGTATCAAAGTGAGACTCACTTATCTTTTGAAATTCAAAAATTTCATTAAATTAAAAAATTATAAAATTCATTTTCTCTTATCACTTAAAGGCAAATACTGTATTTCCTTCCAAGATGTTTTAAGCCTTGTGCACATCATGGGTGATATTGCAGATATACTACATATATTAAAAATACTATGTTTCTTTAAAAAAACATGACATCATTACTAATGTACTTCCATGACATGTAACTCTTCCTATATGTCGTTATTAATGACCCTACGATAGCCTGATTACTATTAAATATTCTAAATTAGCCATATTCTATTGGGATGTTCACTTTGCTTTCCATCTCCCTCAATCAACAATAAACTGATGGCTTTTGAGGAAAAGGTATTCAGGATACAAAGTATAACCCTCCATTGATGAGGTTCCTGCCATCAAAATAAGATGTAATTTCATCAATATTATAGAGGCAAGTAATACTTATCCAACATCAGCTACAATGCCATGTATTTTGCCTGTACACTTGTGTCTACTGTCACAAGAATACTGATTGAAGTGGTACAGTAGAAGTAGACTATGGACTGAGTTTAAATTGAATTCTCACTTTTGTCCAGATGCATGATTTCCAGAAATTAGTTAATATCTCTGATCTTCAGCTTTCTTAATTATGAATTGGCACAACATTTATTTAATAATATTAAGGTCACATCATGTGTAAAGTGTTTGGTAGGCACAGATGATTAAAGACCAGTATGACACTACCCATGCCTTTGAGCAGCTAGCTGATGGCCTAACTGCAGGGCTGAACATGGAGGTGGGCTTGTCTGGACCCAGGGGAACACATTCCTTTTGATAGAGGGGCCTTAGAGCTGGATCTGGAGAAATGAGAAGCAGGTTTTAACTCGCTCTTCTACAATAGTATTCATCAGCTGTTGATCATGCTATCACAGACCCAGTGTTGTACATAATTTTCCTGTCCCAAAGAAGCTTACCAGCTAATTTTGATTGTAATGCCTAGAAGAATGTAGCTTCTGTTTCATCAAGAAGCACACTAACTTATGTAAGAAGCAATGGTGTTGGTCAGAGGTGATTGCATTCAGCCAGAATCCTTCCTTGTAAGAGATGTGCTCTGCACTGTGAACAAAATCCTGGTGACCCATTAATGGCCACCTTTCAACACTAAACTTTTAAGGCTCATTAAATAAAACTGTTACTAAAATGGCTGGGTTGTATAGGTGGACCTTGATATTTAGAAATTACAAATATACTCTGTAATCCATTCATACCTGCACATATTAAATCCTTCTCTGCTAAAAACCCCCCAATATAAATCTAACACTAGACTACCTAGACCGAATGGTAAATTTTCAAGTGTTAATAATTTATCAATTTAAAATACTTCAGACATCACTAAGACTGTCATCTGAACCAGAAAGGTAATTTTAGCAAATTTTCATCCGCTTTCTTATACCAAACTCTACCTAAAAGTATATATCAAGGTTCACCAAATTTTGAAAAGTAAATATATTTGAAAATGTTGTTAATGGACTCCAATGTGAAAAATAAAATAATCTGCATCTCTTGTCTCCTTTTTGAAATCAACGGTGTGTCAATTAATGCCATAAAACTGCTGCATGACACCAGTCCCAAAATTCAGTGGCTCGAAACAATCATTTATTTAGTTCTTAAGAGTTGACTTAGCTGGCTCTGTCCCGTGTGTCTCATACTCTTCTTGGGATATATGTATTAGTTTTAGGGATGTCCTCCTAGTGATGACAGCCACCAATGACCAAGTCTAATTACTTTTCGAACCTCTGTTAATATCCTGCCTGCTAACACTCTCCTGGCCAGAGAGCAGTGTGTCATGAAGCCATACCCCAAATCGAGTCTTGGCAGAGCTCTGCCTGGTTACTTTCACCATAGATACAGGGAGTGCTGAATAAGGGCCATTAATGCAAACTGCTCCAACTGGAAATAACATTTTTCTATGAAGAAAAAATGGAGTCTATATTCCAAGTCCTAATCTATTTTTTAATTTATTATGTGTTTTATGTACTTTCTGTATTTCAGTGACTGACTTTTTACCTCACTGTCTTCCTGCAATCCCATAAAATACAATTGAATGTCCTGATCACACGGATGGAGAGATGGAGACACAGAGATGTTGAATAACGTGTTTAAGCTTTCATGGCTTCTCCATGGCAAAGCCAATGGCAGGAATTAAAACCTTTCTGTGGGCTCTGGGCTTTGGCATCTGTTCTTTTTACTATGTAATACTACCTCTAAGTAAAATTTCAACTGTAAAATTTAAGAACAGGAAAGAATTTAAAAACTCATCTTATTTAATCTTATTTTATAGGTGAAATGACTGAGACAGGGGGAAATAATTTTCAAATTTTTATCACACTAGCTAGGAGGAAATTGAGTAGCTAGAATCTAAGTTTCCTGATTCCTCATTTTCTCCACGCTTTTATGTATGGACAACCATTTTATATATACAGTTTTATATATGGTCAACAATTTAGTGTCCTAGGGATTGTGTGGATCCAGTTGATAAAATCCTATCATGATTGCAGAGATGATAAGAAATGGAAGGTCATGTGACTACCTACCATGTGACAATGGATGTCTTTGTTTTCTTAAAATATTAGCAAAATGAGATTCTGAACCCTTTGGACTATGACTACCAAAGGATAGGTCAGATTTGCTCTTTGGCATTGACCACATTCCACATTTCCTAGAGGCCAAGTCAGTTCTGCAGGCTCTAGGGCAGCTGTGCAGCAGTCAAGGGCCACCACTGATGTGGAAGGTGGGCAACTAGTGTGTTTTGGCAGCTCTGTAACAGTGCAGAAATCACACTGCTGCCAGGACCCAATTGAATTAGAGTTGACCTTAAGATGGATTTTACAAACTATTCAAGCAGATCTCTCTTTTTGGAAACTTTTCAGAGTAAAAAAGGAGAAAACAATAAAATGCTTCCAATTTGCAGTCCCTCCCTCTGCTGCTTGCAGCCTCCACACTCTCCCCAGCACTGAGTCATTATCCCCAGTGGGTCCTGCAAGCCTAAGGCAGATGGAAAACAAAGGAAATATGGCTTAGAGCTCCTTGCACGGGATCAGAACTGGCCAATCCACGGTGCTGGTCTCAATGTATTAGCCTTAAGAAAAGGATATGGGTAGCAGGAAAGTTGGAGGAGGTCCTTATGAGTGCAAGAAGTTACTGGATCAGCGTGAAGCATTTCCCTCTCAAAAATAACCATAGGCCAGGGCCTAGCATATGGTAGGTGCTAAGTAAATATTTGTTGAATGAATGATGCGTGAATGAATAACTACCTCTCTTAGTGTTATTGCCCGTCTGGTTGTGTTTCCACTGATTTCAAAGTAAACCTGTTTTCCTCAAGGACTTAGCTATTTCATAGAGGATCATGATTTAGGATCTGTATTCCGTCATTTGACCAAAATGTTTGAGTGCTTACTGTGTTTCAGGTATCAGAGATACAATATTTAGCAAAACCACATGCAACTGTTTCTCTTGTGGAGCTTGCAGTCTCATGAAGTAAAACAGACATGGGCTTGGAATCCTAACACTGTCATTTATTACAATTTGACTGTGTATGGATATATATATATAT